CCCAGCCATTCATGATTAAAGAGAAATCACTGAGGTGCCCAGGTGGCTCAGTAGGTTGTGTCCAACTCTTGATTTTGGCTCAGGTCATGATCTCAGGGTCGTGAGATCGAGCCCCACATTTGGGCTCCATGTGCTAAGCGGGGAGTCTGCTTAAGATTCTCTCCCTCTCCTGCTGCCCCTCCCCCTGCTGTGTGCTCACTCTCTCTCTCTCTAATAAATAAATAAATCTTAAAAAAGAAAAAAGAAATTATTAAGCACCTGTATGTGCCAGCAAGGAGTACACATGCTGAATAAGACAGACGTAGTCCTAGCCTCCCAGGGCTGATAGTTCAAAGGAATCTCAGCCTCCAGAACTTCATTAGAAGAAACTGCCTCCTAACTGGCATCCTTGAATTTAGTTTCTGTTCCTTGCAAGCCATCCTGAATCAGCTGCTAGTCAATCTGAAACTCAGGATGATTCTAGAAGATACCCTATTGGCCTCAGAACCAGCTGTCCCAGGTTTGCCCCCTCATGCAATGCAGTCTCCCCTCTTCCTCCAGTTGGAACCCATCTGCCCCAACCCTGGCTGGCTCCTTCACATCCCCATGTCAGCACTTCTGTCCATGCCATTGCTCCAGCTCTGAATGTCGTCTCTTAGAGTTCTCCAGAGTCCCGGTTAGCCATACACCCTTCCTCAAGCCTTCTCCATTGATTGGGAGTATAGAGATCTCAATTTCTTTACTCATTCATTCTTCTGACACTTCCTGAGTCTACTAGATGTTAGGATATGGGTGAACAAACTGTAGTTCCTACCCCCCTGAAACATCAAATCTAGGAGAAGATAGAGATCAACTCAAAAAATCAAAGATTATTTATTTTTATTATTTGATTATAAAATGACTATTATTTTATTATTCATCAAAAAATGGATGATTCACAAACCATGTGAAGTTCTATGGTAAGTAAGTAAAATAGAACTTAGTTTGGAGGTGATATTGGGTGAGAAAAGGCTTCCTCCTTGAAGGATTGGACTTTTGAGCTAAGATTCAGTGCAGCACTCTCCAGTGGAACTTCCTGCAGTGATGGAAATGTTCTGTATCTGTGCTGCCCCATACAGTAGCCACCAGCCGTGCATGCCTCCCAAGCATCTGAAATGTGGCCAGTGCATCCAAGGAACCAAACTTTAAACTGTTTTTTATTTTAATTACTTAAATTTAAATAGCCACATATGCCTAGTGACTAGTGTATTAGATGGTGTAAATCCAAGGATGAAGAGGAGTTAGATACATTGACAGAAGGCGGGAAGAGTCTATAGGAAGGAGAAATAATGTGTGTAAAGATCCTGAGACTAGAAGGAGCATTCACTGCATGCTTGGGGACAGGACAGAAGGAGAGTGTGGCTGGAACACAGGCAGCTGAGACAAGCATCATGAGATAAGCCAGGAAAGTAGGTGGAACCCAAACCAGGCAGGGCCTGGAGACCACATTAAGGATCCTGAGTTCTATCCAAATAGTAGTATGATGCTATGGATGGATAGTGAGCATAAGAGTGACAGGATCAGGTTACATTAAAAAGAAAAAAAATCTGGGCACCTGGGTGGCTCAGATGGTTAAGCCTCTGCCTTCGGCTCTGGTCATGATCCCAGGGTCCTGGGATTGAGTCCCACATCTGGCTCCCTGCTCCACGGACAGCCTGCTTCTCCCTCTCCCCCTGCAACTCCCCCTGCTCATGCTCCCTCTCTCTCTGTATCTCTCTGTCTCAAATGAATAAATTAAAAAAATCTTTAAAAAAAAAAATCATTGTACCTGCAAAAAGGAGAAGGGATTGGAAAGGGGAAGTGCATACGTGACATCAGTTAGGTTCTTGCATGAATCCAGACAAGCAACAAAGGTATGTGGTGCTAGACATGGAAAGAAGGCAAAGATCTGACCTGAGTTCAGGCTTATCGCCGACCTCCTGGGTGACTTAGGGAAAGTCATTTAACTCTCTGGGTCTCCATTTTTCTTTTCAACTGTAAAATGGGAACCACCACCCTGGCCTACCTACCTTGTATGACAATCAAATGGCTATGAACGTGCTTTGTAAACCACACAGGTTCTACGACTGTAAGAGGTTAACATTATTGCTCAATCCCACATGGGTTACTCCCTCTCTGCTCCTCCTTCCTCCGACCATTACTCATACAGCTAGTACAACTTAGAACAAAACACTACTTCGTTGGCCTCATAGGTGCTGGGTTTTTCCATGCAACTTAACTATTTCATCCTTAGGGGCAGAGAATTTGTTATATACCTCTTCTGTACACACTCCAGGGTTTAGCAAAAACCATAGCACATAGTAAGTGCTCAGAAAATTGTGTGAGAACTAGATGATACGCGACAAATGCCTGTTGGCTGAATGACACCTCTGGCTTATCTTCTTCCTTTTTCCTAATGGAAGCTGGTATTCGCTAGACACGAACTTGCAATGTTTTCATCTTCTTGGGATGATTAAGATTGTGGGTCCAAAAAGAGATAGAAGTCCTTAAAATCAGGGACAGTGTCTACCTCCAAGACTTAGGTGTTCCCATAGCACTTTTTAGATGTGTGAGTACCAACCCACTAAAGACCCTCCAATTTTAGGGGCAGTGGGAGTAGTGGAATGGAAAATAGGATTCGGAGCCATCTTGCTAGGGGTCTTGTCCTGTCTCTAATACCTGTTAGTTTCAGAGCCTCAATATTCTCATGTGTCAAACAGAAAGAACGGCAGTCTATCTCACACAGTTATGTGACACTTAAGCAAGATGAGGGATGCCAGAATTTTATTTGTTCATTTTTAGCTCTAAGTAACATTAATCAACGCTATGCCAGGCAACGTGTTAGATGCTGGGAGTACGGGGTGATTCTCTTCAAGAGTTCAGCTCGTGGTTTTGAGGAAACCACGCAAGTCACCAATTACAATCCAATCCAATAATGACCAGATCAAGTGCTATGTGGCGAGGACAGGTGAAGACAGTGGGCTCTGGGGCGGCAGAGAGGGCTTTCTCACCCTCTCTTTCCTCTCAAGTTGGCAAGGGCAGGGAGGGGTCAGAGGTCATCAAAGAAGGCTCCCAGGAGCAAGTAATGCTGAAAATTAGAAGGACCTGCGCAGGAGTTGGGCAGGTGAAGAAGGTAAGAGTACATTCCAGATAATGAAAATAACAGACATTTCATCCATTCATGTACTCAACAAACATGAATTGGGCATATCAGAGGCAAGGAAATCTAGGGAACTATAGATAAACAAAACATGACCCCTGCTCAGGGGGCACACACTTTTTGCAGGACCAGACGGTCAGGGAAAGGCACCTTCCTTCCTTCTCTAAACCTCACACGAGCAATGAGCTGCGAATAGATGTGTCAGGCCTATGCTATGCCTGCTGGCCCATGGCCACACGGCCATACTCCATGTGAGGGGACAACCTAAGACCCAGCAGCTTTACCCCAACAGCCTCAATGAGACAGCCTCGCTTAGGACAAATGCCCATGACACTCATGGGGCTCATGGGGCTCACACGGATGACGAGCTGGCCGCCACCAGGAGATGATTAAAAATCTACCATTAAACCAAGCTGTACTTAGAGCAGACCTTTTTTAAAGTAGCTTTTCATCAGGGGATTGTATTTTCTTCTTGACAATTTCCTTAATGGCAAGAAAGGCTATATGTTCAAAGAACAAAGGAGACCCAAGGGCAAAGAGTAGAAGATTCTCACCAAGGCAGGGGCCGAGAGTGGGGAGGGAGGAGGAAAATTAAACAGGCAGAAGAGATGTGCCCCCACTTTTATTCCTATCGAAAGCTCCGGCGCTGCCCACGCCCACCTCCTCTCTCTGCCTTCTTCCCTGGGGGTACTGACAGTAGCCCAGAGCTCATTAAAGTTTAAACAGACTGATCAATACACACAGAATGGTGAATTGTCCATCTGCAAATTACCAAGCCCTTCATGAATATTTAAGGAACAAAACTAGGAACAGAGAGAAAAGAGAAACCAGGACTTTATTTTTCCCTCCTAAAGGAAAAAAAGACCAAAGTATCTCTGTCCCTCTGGATCACCAGGTTCTAAAACCAAACAGTCAAATGAGACAAATGAGCATCTCCTCCTTCCCTGAGCCAGCGGGTGGACTGCAATCCAAGGCCACTCCACATCAACATCTGTCTGGCACAACTCAATGTCCCTGCTTTCTCCAAACATGCCGCCTGTCTTGTTTACCCACCACCTAGCCAAAACCCACATGAAGACCAAGTGGGTCTGCAAAATCAGGCATAAAACACCTTCAAGTGGAAATAAAAGGGGTGCAGCTGACCAACTGGTGGCCATTTACTTATTCTACCCAACAGAAAGGCTGAGTGCTAACAGTATGCTAATGGGCACTCGCCCCTCATGCGTTGGCACATGCTGTTGCCTCTGAACAAAATGAGGCTCCTCCCACTTGTCCACCTGGAAGGCAGGACAGTCCAGCGACTCTGGGTGCAGCGTTGGGAGTCACTCCCGCCTCTGCTGCTTACTAACTGCATGAACTTGGGTAAGTCACCTAACCTTTCTGCACCTGTTTCCTCCTCAATACAATAGGGGTTGTAACAGGACTACCTTCCTAGGGTCCTTGCGAGGATTCCCATACACAATGCATGCTAACACAGTCTACATAGCACTGGGCATGCAAGAATGCACAGGTGTTAGCTATGATTATCAGTGACCTCTTCCACATTCGGTCACATGGGACCAGAACCTCTTCATGTTCCACATCCTGGGTCCTGTGCACCTGAGCCCCTCCAAGTTACTCTCTCCTCAGCTCCAGCCACAGCCACTGAGCCCCCAGCACCTACCGAGTCATAGTTTAGCCGTCTACTGGTCTCTGTCACTGGACTGTGAGCTCCCAAAAGGCAAGGCCTATAGCTAAAGCATCCCAACATTGCCCCTGGTATCAGGAGTGCACAATAGACATGCTCAGCAGCTGGGGGCCGGGGAGCACACACAAGGATAGAATGCCACAGTTGTGGCCATACCTTTGTGACAACACAGCATGCGGCCCAGATGTCCTCGGAGGACTGCTCGTGGTGGTTGAACTGAGGCTCCCACTGGTTGATCGGCTGGTCTGCGAAAGCCAAAAGGATGCCCCTCTGGTCCACCAGAGCCGCACGCACACTGCCTGTTCCAACGTCCACACCCACGTAGTAGCTCCCTGGTTCCTGATCTCTGCCAGGCATTGTGGTCCCTCCACCTGCAGTAACCAAGGACAAAAACCACATGAAGACCAAGTGGGTCTGCAAAATCAGGCACAAAACACCTTCAAGTGGAAATAAAAGGGGTGCAGCTGACCAACTGGTGGCCATTTACTTATTCTACCCAACAGAAAGGCTGAGTGCTAACAGTATGCTAATGGGCACACTGAGCTAGGTGGTGGGTAAACAAGACAGGGAAGGCCTCAGACATGGAGTTTCCATTCTTAGAAGGAAGTCAGATGTTCAGCAGTTGCGAGTTGCATAATAATTGAAGCCAAGTCGTGATACTGGGTGAAAAGTGCTATTCAGGTAAATATGGGGCTGTGGAATCCAGCCAATCTAGAGGTAACAGACACGTATTTATTCTCATTGAGTATGAATCAGGAGGACAGTGGCCACAGTACTACAAAGTACTCATCTACCTTACCTACCCTGTCAACCGTTCATTCCAAAAGATCTACTAAGTACCTATTACATGCCAAACATGGTGAAAAGTACATGCACCCCCTCAATTCTTCACTGGGACTCTAGAAGGAGAGTATACTTAAATCTCTACTTTACAGGTAATCAGGGGGAGACTCCAAGAGATACACGACTTTTCTCTTACAGCTAGGTCCACGTACATAAGAAGAGTTAAGTGTACACGATACACATTGTACTGACGGGGAAACAGGTCTCGAAGAAGTGAAGAGACGTGGCGGCATCACTCACGAGCAGCCTGGACCCACGGTCTCCCCTCCGTGCACTGCCAATCCCAGGCCCTTCCAGTTCGTTCTTAACAGCTTTCGGGGTCGTTTTGGAGAAGAGGAAAATATACTGCAGCCGAGTCATGAAGTGACTGGGAATGGGGAAGGAGCCTCGTGGGAGACAGGATCAGGAATTCGTTAGACAATCTGTTTTCTTTACAGACCCCTTGTGAGTTACAAGGAAATCGGACCAGAGAACACTCAGGAATTCCTTGGCCTTCACTGCCGCTCTAAGTCCCTCTGGTCAGATTAGCCCACATGACACAGAAATCTCACAGAGGCTTTCATTTCCCAGATCAGCCTTTCACTGAGTAAGAACAAGCCCCCAAGACAAGCACACCGGTGAACAGGCTACAACTCCCCAGGTGAGCTCGGGGCAGTCTTAGCACCCCGAGTCTCATTTCCACCGAGAAAGCGGTCTGAGCCCTTCCACTGCAAAAAACGTAATGTTTCCTTGGCAAAGTCACACTTGGGGATTCTAAAATGAAGCCAGCCCACAGATGTTCAGTTACTGCTTCCTGGATATTTATCCCAGTCAAAAACAGCTTCATTAAAAGTGATTGCTTCTGACTTATTCACAATGATTCCCCAACGGGGTTTGCTCCCTTTGGCTTGCAGGCTCCCAGGCAGGTGGAGAGGGAAGCAGGCAGGCCACGGTGAGCACGTGTGCTACCTTCAGCTGGGCTCCAGCCTCTGCACTTTATACAATCATCCTGCCTCCCTCGCTTCCAAGGTTTCAGGAGCTACACAGGACCCACAGCACCAGTTGTCAAACTACGCATTGCTTCGTTTTCTTCAAGCCATGACTCACAGAAAATTTAAATAAAACAAGTCAAAGTAGAGCTGCTCCGTGTGAAACAAGGATGGGTCCAGCCCCGCCCTCCCGGCCTCCCCAGAGCCATCCCCCTGCTGGGTCCTTTCTCGAGACTCAGGATGGCTACAATACAGCCTGATGCCCCGGGCATGGCATCCCAGGCCCACCAGGAGCTTCCCTCTGTTTGCGGTCATCCTCGTTGTCAAACACAATCCTGCCCGTTCTTACACGAAATTCCAGACGTCCTGAGACTCCTCGCAGGTTCTCACGTGCATCTGCCCCACTGCTTTGTACTGGCCCTTCCCTTCCTAACCCCTTCCTCTCTTGTGTGCCTGGTGCCCATGGACTTATATTTTCAGTTCCAATTCAACCATCTCCCTTCCAGGAAAGACTTCCTTGTCTTTCTCCGTCCCTTGGTGCCAGGAGAGTACCGCATCCCTACTTTCTTTTACTTTTATTTTTTTAAAGATTTTTATTTATTTATTTGAGAGAGAGAATGAGAGAATGACAGAGACAGAGCTTGAGAGGGGGGACAGTCAGAGGGAGAAGCAGACTCCCTGCCGAGCAGGGAGCCCGATGTAGGACTCAATCCCGGGACTCCAGGATCATGACCTGAGCCAAAGGCAGTCGCTTAACCAACTGAGCCACCCAGGCAACCCCCTACTTTCTTTTAAATCCTAACCATTCTGAAATGTGATTTATTTTTGGTTCCAGGTCTGACTCTCTTACTGGCCTGAACCTGAAAAACAAAGGAACTTAGTGATTTCTGTATCCCTAGCTCCTATCAGTGTCTGAGATAGAATCAATTTTCAATAAATGTGTACTGAATGAACAACTAGCTTGGTGAAATCAATAGAAAACAAGGATGAAAAGGTTCATGCTTTAATAGTTTGAATTCCTAATTTTGTACTTATGGGTACTAGTGTTTTGCTTTGATTCTAATCTCTGTATGCTTCATTCATCCAATTAACAAATATTTATTGGATGCCTACAACCACATTTTATTAATTCTAGGACACTCATTTTTTTCACATTTTGCCTCTGAAATCAGTGAATCCCACAATCAATGGCATCTTACAATTAATTGGTAACATTGTCTTTCTTATTCTTAGTGGTATATGAAATAACAATGCATCTCGCAAATCCATGATTGACATTCAAAGAAACGCAGACTGTGCCAGGCACCAGGCACCCTGCTAAGAGCTGAGGATACCTTAAAGGACCCAATAGGACAGTGCACTGGCTCAGAGCTTCCTCAACATTCTTTACGTGCAAATAGGAGGAAGACTGACCAAGCAGCTGCTCAGCCTCCCACACTCACATCTTCTTCACTGGTATTCCCTCTTCTAGCATCTCATTGTCTCCAGCGTGAAGGCCCAGAGGTGCTGCTCCTAACACTGATCCTAGCATGCCAACAATCCTCTGCCCTTGGCTAGAACTCTCCAGGACTATTCTAAGAGAAACAAGGAAGTAAGTAGGAAGTGAAGAGTCTCTACAAACGTTCTGGCTTACTCAAACTGACCAGCCATCACCCAGGCCTCTCCCACTCCTGCTTAGCCCCAGTGACAAGACAGATTCCCCTAGGGAGCTGGCCCAGCTCCTCAAGCCTAGGTTCCTCACTTTTTTTTTTTTTTTTAAGATTTTATTTATTTATTTGAGAGAGAGAATGAGATAGAGAGCATGAGAGTGGGGAGGGTCAGAGAGAGAGGCAGACTCCCTGCTGAGCAGGGAGCCCGATGCAGGACTCGATCCAGGGACTCCAGGATCATGACCTGAGCCGAAGGCAGTCGCTTAACCAACTGAGCCACCCAGGCACCCCTGGGTTCCTCACTTCTGACTCCATCTTCCTTGGCAGGGAGCGCAACACCTTATCACCCACCACCCAGACGTCCGATTTATTTCCAGTAAAATCTAAAGGCAGATTTCTACTCTGCAGCTGACCCAGGGCTTACCCCAGTTTTGGATCCACGTCTTCACTAAACAGGAAAGACGCCACCCTTCAGGAAAGCCCCTACCTCATATGAGGAGTGGAGCTTTACTATTAACTCCATTGTTGCTGGGATCACAGCTAGCCCCGTGCCAACCCGGTGCCTGGCACAGAGCAGGAACTCGAGTCTTTGTGACTCTGTGCATCCCTTTAAAACCTATCCTTAGGGAATAATAAAAGGTACTATGTTTACTGTGTCTCCAATGCTCTGTTCAACAGCTTGCTTCTATTGCCATATCACTTTTAATCCTGACCTCAACTCCTGAAGATAATTCAGAAAAATATCATCCCCATTTTACTGATGAGGAAAATTGAGTCCCAGACAGGTAAAGTAGCTTGCTCCTGTAGGTCATATAACTAGTAAGGAATAGAGTTGACAGCCATCCCATTCCCTCTGGCCCCAAAGTTCCCAACCATTCTCAGGGCGCTCTACTGCCTGATTCTCCTCCATTTATTAAATGCCTATCTGCCAAGGACCATGCCTCCTTTGTCTAAGATTGGCTACCTCCCAACTCAAGCCGCCCACCTCAGGAGCCTGACCCTTCACCAATGCCAGGCTGCCTCTCTCTGACAAACCACCCATTTCTAGACCACGTTAACCAAGGCATCAGTCAGGGACAGTCAAACCCATGGGGACCAGGGCACCATACCTCCCAGCACTGGTCACGCACACCTCCCAGTTCATGTTTTTCTAAGAAATAGATCCTAATTAAATATTTCAGGTTCACCATGTTTCCCATTACTATGGTTTTCAGTGATCTCTTTGTGATTGTTTCCACACCTGGACCGTGAAAGCAGGGAAGTAAGTTCAAGCCCTTGGGCGGCTTCCCTGAAACTTGACCCTGAGAGTTTTAAAAACCCTGCCACAGGATTTTCTGTAACTCAGATCCCTTGTCTTCCCCTCGGTGCCCTTTGTTCCTTGGTCACAAGTACTCTGCTGTGTCCTGGGCTTCAAACTGTATCCAGTTCCCCTTCTCCTCAACAAATAAAATAACTGCAAAATGGAAAACATTCCATTTTCTAATCTAAGAAAAAAAATAGTAATAAGGAGTAGGATCCGTCTGTGTGTCTGGCACTTGCACACATGCCTTAATCTCTTCCAAATGAAACTCAACCAAGTTTGTAAACCTATCACCATCTTATACTTCAGGGGGATGGGGAAATTCGCCCCTATGGCAAGTGTAGGGCTCCCTCCACAACACCAACCTAAAACTGAAAACAGAATTCTTTGTTAACTTCTTCGGTAACAATTATCAACAACAAATGTAGCAAAGACTAGCAATTAAGCTCTGCTCTGCAAATCACGCACATGATTTTGTGATTGCATCTACTCCTTGCAACAATCCTGTGAGGTAGGCAGTATGAGCCCATTTTCCAGTTAAGGAGACTGAGGTTCTCAGCAATAAAGCTGTTTAAGGTCACACAGCGCAGAACCTGAGAAGCTGGGATTCG